CCCCCGGGACCGACCCGCCGCCGCCCCCGCCTCCCGTGTCACCGCCCGGTCCCCATGGCGACGGGGCGCCCGCAGCCCCCCGGGTGTCCCCTCGCCGTGCCCATGGCAACGGGGCTCGGCCGGCCCGTGTCACCCGGCGCCCACCCCCCATCCCGTGTCACCTCCCGGCCCCGCGCTGTCACCTCCCCCCATCCCCGCCGCGGCGGGTCCTGCCCGTCCCGTGGGACCGGCACGGGGCCGCCGTAAGCGGCTTAGCGGGGACACGGGGACGTCCCCGCCGCCCCGGCGAGCGCCGGGCCCTGCAGCGGCGCCCCCCGCGGGGTCCGCATGGCCCCGGGGATGTCCCCATCGCCCCGGGGGGCCCTGTCACACCGGGCGCGGGCGGGTCTCTATCACCCCGGCAGGGTCCCTATCCCCCTGGGGGCATCCCCCGCCCTGACCCCGCGCCCTTGTCTCCTCCGCAGGCGCCGGAGCCGGTGCGGCCGCCGCGCTGCCCCTCGCCCCTCCGGCCGGCCGCCGGCCCCGAGCGCACCTCGGAGCGGGAGACGCAGACGGCTGAGCTGTCCCTGACCGTGGTGGCGGCCGTGCAGGCGGTGGAGCGCAAGGTGGATTCCCACTCCACCCGCCTGCTGGACCTGGAGGGTCGGACGGGGATGGCGGAGAAGAAGCTGATCGACTGCGAGAAGACGGCGGCGGAGCTGGGGAACCAGCTGGAGAGCAAGTGCGCGGCGCTGGGCACCCTCATCCAGGAGTACGGGCTGCTCCAGCGGCGCCTGGAGAACATGGAGAACCTCCTGAAGAACAGGAACTTCTGGATCCTGCGGCTGCCCCCAGGCAGGAAGGGGGAAGTCCCCAAGGTAACGGTGTCCTGGGTAGCGGGAGCCGGGCACTGCACCCGAAATGCTCCCGGAGGGCAGGCCCGGGGTGGGTGAGCGGGGACAGCCCCGGCTCAGGTGAATCTCTGGCCGTTGCAGCTGCCTAGTGCAGCTTCCCAGCTCATCCCCTGCTGAGGCTAAAATACGGAGGGACGGAGGCCTGGGAGGACATCCTGGTACTCAGGCCAGAGGTTTCAGTTCTGCTCCACTGCGCTGCACAGCCCTGGGGCCGTTGACTCTTTTTTTGTTCATTTTTTTTTTTTGCCACCATTTCTAGAAACACTGCAGATTTTGTGGTTCTCCCGTTTTCACCACCTTGACGCTGTAGAGTCTCCCAGGCCAGGGAAGGAGAAAGTGGGAGCTGCTGCTGCAGGGAAGGGGGAGGCTTTGGGATTCAGGAAGGCAGATGAGCTCCCTGGGCATAGCTCTGGAAAGAGCCCACCATCAATATTCAGTTCCTACTTGAATTTCACAACCTTCCTGCTAAAAGAGTGTGCAAATGAGACCACGTAGGACATGGGAGAGGGAGTATCTTGGAGAGAGCAGAGAGGATCAGGAAAAGGTGGGTTCAGACCCTGGCACCCCATTAGTGCAGTTAGGGGACAGAACTGGAGTGCTGCGTTCCCTCATAAGAGCTCCACTCCAGCACGGCACACTTTGCACATCCTGAATTTATCCTTAGGAATTACTCCTTGGCTAACAAGCTGGGAAGCTGCAGATGGTGGGCACACAGTAACCAGGGATAATGGGGAGCCCTGTGGGCCTGGGTAGAGTTTTCCCTGGAGTTCTGGGGTAATTGAATCCAGGAGTTACATCAGCTCATCAATAGGGATGAGTCCAGCCCAGCTCCTGGGTTTTCTCTCCCTTATGGTCCCCCAAGCCTGGTCACCCTGCAGAAAGCAGGGACTGAGAGGAGGAGCTCAGGGTCCTTTGGGGAAATCCCAGTCTGGATTCATCACCAGCAACCATCCATTTGCTTGAGTCCTTTGTTCCCAAAGAAATACCTGCCCAGGAGTTGTTTTAAATGTTAAAAGCAGCTCATTGATGGCCTCGGAGGAGCTGAAGCCTGGCTGTGTCCAGGCTCCTGCTTGAAGCTGCTGTTGGAATTGCAGGTGCCGGTGACCTTTGATGACGTGTCCGTCTATTTCAATGACAAGGAATGGGAGAAGCTGGAGGAGTGGCAGAAGGAGCTCTACAAGAATGTGATGAAGGGGAACTACGAGTCTCTGATCTCCCTGGGTAAATACGGGGTGTCCTCATCCTTCTGAGGGACAGGAGGCTCCTTCTGCCTCCTCCTTGGATGAGACCCAAACGTCCCGTTTTAAAGGCTTGAAAACACAGGTGGATGTTTTCAGTCTGGGTTTATTCCAGCTCTTGCTGTGGTGTTGTTCTGGCTGGGCGAGGGATGCCCTGTGGGCAGGTGGGCTGGAAACCTCCCAAACCTCTTCCAGCCACAGTTATGCCGTCAAAAACCAGCTCCTTCCTTCCCCATGGCTGTTGGGAGGGCTTCCCTGCATTCTCTGGGTCTGCAGTGCCCCTGCACCCCTGCAGAGGATTTTGCACCTGTGGATGTTCCCGAGTGTCCTCACGTGTCCCCTGCGTGCTGGGAAGAGGTGGAAGCCAATATCAGATTCCCAGTGCAGTAATCCCTCTCTCCCACCCCTCTGTCTCTCAACAGACTATGCAATTTCCAAACCTGGTGTTTTGTCTCAGATCGAGCAAGGGGAGGAATCTCGGGGCAGGAATGAGCAGGACCTGGAGGAGAGTGAGATCATTACTGATGCCACGGCAGGTGAGGCAGCACCTGGGCACCAGGGCAGCCCTGGGTTGTGTTCCCAGGTTGTGCTCATCCCAAGGCTGGAGCAGATGTTGCTGGGAGCTGTGGCTGATGTGGTTTATCTGGAGAAGCCTTGCCTAGGAATGGGATAAATTGGGCTGATGGGAGGTTTGATGTCCAGGTACAGCTCAACACAGAAAGCAGGACAAGCAGAGCCTGGAGAGTTGGGCAGTGGGAGCCCTTCCCAGCAAGGGAAGCATCTGCAACCAGACCAGGTCCTCAGGGAGCCAGTGTGCCCAGCAAGGAAGGGGAATCGGGTCCCATTGGGAGAGCCCATCCACCCAGAAAATCCTCCACCCTTTCTTTGCGTGGATGGTGGCTGGGTTTATCCTTGGAGCATCCTCCCAGGCAGGGAAGCCTGGTCCCAGGCTGTGTGCAGAGAGATGGGATGGTGAGGGCCAAGACTGGGCTGGGAATGGGGCACCAGTGACCCCGAGTCCCAGAGCGACTCCTGCTCTGTGATAAGGGGGCTGATAAGGAGATAAGGAGGTGGCCTGGAAGAGATGGTGTGATCTCCACTCATCATCCCTGATTCCAGGCTGTGGATGGGGGGTCACACCAACACCCTGCTTGTGCTCTCCATCGCAAGGATCTTGAAATTAAATTGAGGCCAGTGGAAAGGGGAAAATCACAGGCCCACGTGGAGCTGCAGCTGGGGGGTGTGGGGTGGCCAAGGGATGCTGAGCTGTGGCACCACGGCCCCAGGCTGGGTGGAGCAAGTTCCCTGTGCCTGTGAAGGGTCCTGGGCTGGAGCTGGAAGCGTGGCATGGATGGGTGAAAGGCGGGGGCTGAAGGGAGAGCAGAAGAGGCCGAGCAGATGAAGCCCTCAGCGGGATCAGCAGCTGGTGCTGGCAGGAATTGCTGGGAGCAGGTCCCTCATTCTGGCTCCTGGCAGTGATGGCAGGTGACAATCTCTCGTTGCTGCAGCTGGAATAAGGGTGGTGATCAAAACGGAGGAGCTCCTTCCTGAAGACAGCCCCGAGAACCCCGAGCTGCACGGGATGTCGGGGCAGTCCGAGGGCAGCTTCCAGAGCCCGGACGAGGAGGCGGCCTGCGAGAGCCCCTACGGCTCCGTGTCCCCGCCGAGGGACCTCCCGGGCACCAGCCTGGGGGACTCCTCCGAGTACGGAGCCGACTTCAGCGAGATCCAGAGGGTCATCGTTCACCACGGGGGCTGCACAGGTGAGACGCTCAGGACACTGATCTGCGCACGTGGTGTGTCAGGGACAGGAGGCCTGGGGGCTGCGGTGGGTTAGGAAAAGGTGGGGAAGGGGTTGGATGGACAGGAGGAGTTAAATCCCCCCAGAACCAGCACCAGAAGGAAGGTTTCAGCGACTTCCAAGAGTGGCTCTGGTCACCCCTTGAGCTTGGAGGAGGAGGCAGCGTGGTGGACACACAACGTGGTCTCTGAGGGCTCCTCAGGAGCAGAGCAAGCACTGGCTCAGTCCTCTGAGTCTGGGAAAAGCCCTGGTTACCCACGGAGACCAAGGGAAGATGTGTCTCAGACAGCGTTCTGTGAGAGCCCCAGTGAGCCCTGCTCCCAAAACCCGCTGTGGCAGAGGGCAGGAGGTTGGTGTGAGGTGTGGAGGAGTGCATGGTTGCACACCGGACACTGCTGGAGGAATGTGGGAGGTCCTGCAGGTTGCCACGTGTGGGAGTTGCTCGGGGCAGCTCCACAGGATAGGGAAGAACGTGGCTGGAGCTCTGTGATTTGTGAGCTGCCAGGAGGGAAGGGGAAGGATGAGGTGATTTGTGGAGAGGTGAGATGATGGCACTGAGTGTTTCATGTGTAGAATTCTGCTGGTGGAGTGGCAGATACAGGCCAAGTCCTACAGATGTGCTGTAAGGCTGGGGATGGGAGGTTGGGAATGGTGGGTTCCTTCCTCCTGATGGCTTTGTGGTGGTGTAACACAAACCAACTCACAGAGAGTTGGGCTCTTGAGGGCCTCAGCTTCGTCTTGTGGGTCCTGTGGTCTGCTCAAGGCTTTGTGAGGGAAACCAGCCAAGCCACCAGGGGGCTGAAGCTGATCCTTGTCTGAGAGCCACTGCCTCTGCCAGGGCACGGGCCCGGCTGGTGGGGCTGGGCAGGAGCTGTGGCCGTGCTGGCCGGGATGGGGGCTGAGCCCCCAGGCCCATAGAGGGGGCAGGGAGAAGGACCTGGGTTTTCCCTTCCTCAGAGGGAAGAGAGACATGGCTTTGAGACATCCACTCCCATCGGTTTCCTTTTCTTGGGAAAGTGTAGCTGCTCTTCCTGGGAGAGCATCTAGGCTTGGCTCACAGTCCGGTGTGGGGTGACATGAGGGATGCCCTGTGGGCCTTTCCTTGGGCTGTGCTGGCTGCGTTTCCTGCCCTGTGTCCCTGGGATGGCTGCTCTCACCAAACAAAGTCCCCGGCTCACTTCCGGCCTTGGTGACACGAAGGGGAGCCTGGCCTGCTGCCATCCATCCCACTCTTGATCCATCCCACTGCTGGGTGCTCTGGGAAGGAGAGGGGTGGGCGTCTCACCACACCACACGGCAGCGGGGCTGAGGGAAGGGGACAGTCCCAGGCGGGCTGTGCTGTCCCCGGAGCAGAGCCGGCAGCCCGGCGCTGTTTCTGTCGAGTGGTGCCGTGCCAGGGGTGTTGTTGCAGCCCAGAGAAAGGGCAGCAGATGGAGCTGCTCTGAAATCACTCAGCCACCCGAGCCCTGGCGAACCCATGGTGCTTTTATCCCTCACATCCTGCAGCAGCACGAAGTTGCCAAACCTTTTGGCAGGCGGTCGGAGTGCACCCTCCAGAAGAGCCTGACAGGGGTGGTTTGTCTGAACTCCGTGTTTGGAGGCACATGGCCCATCCCAGCGCTCTGGGCTCCACCTACAGCCCCATTTGTGGCACAGGCTGGCTCCCAGAGCACAAACAGCTGCAGGAACCCATGCAGGTGTTTCTGCAGCACCCAGAGGTATAAGAGGCCACCTCGTCCCTCCCAGTGACCCTAATGCTGTTTGATTTTCCCCCTCAGAGGATGGGATCGTGATCAAGACGGAGGAGGAGGAGGAGGAGGAAGAGGATGACCCCGACACGCTGGAGCCGTGCGCCATGTTCTCGGGCCGGAGCGAGGCGCCGGCGTTCCCCAGCCACGAGGCCGGGCTGGGCTGCGAGGCGCAGTGCAGCTCCAAGGCGCAGCCCCGCAGCCTGGCCCGCGTCAGGAAGCCGTCGGCCTGCGAGAGGGACTCCGGGGACATGAAGCCGGCCAGCGGCCAGCAGCGGAACCGGACGCGGGAGAGACCCTACATCTGCCCCGAGTGCGGCAAGAGCTTCATGCTCAAGATCAACTTCATGATCCACCAGCGCAACCACCTCAAGGAAGGGCCCTACGAGTGCCACGAGTGCGACCTCAGCTTCCGCAACAAGCAGCAGTTCCTGCTGCACCAGCGCAGCCACACGCGCCGCGGCGTGGGGGTCCCGCGGCGCCCCGAGCACGGCCTCAAGCCCCCGGCGCGGCCCCCGCCCCCGGGGAAGCCCTACAAGTGCTCCGAGTGCGAGAGCAGCTTCAGCCACAAGTCGAGCCTCAGCAAACACCAGATCACCCACGTCGGGGAGCGGCCCTTCACCTGCGGCGAGTGCCGGAGGAGCTTCCGCCTGCAGATCAGCCTGCTCATGCACCAGAGGATCCACGCCGGCAAGAACGAGATGGCCTTCCTGTGTCCCCAGTGCGGCAAGAACTTCACCCGGCCCTCCCACCTGCTGCGGCACCAGCGGACTCACACCGGCGAGCGGCCCTACCAGTGCAGCCAGTGCGAGAAGACCTTCAGCGAGAAGTCCAAGCTCACCAACCATTACCGCATCCACACGCGGGAGCGCCCGCACGCCTGCGCCGTCTGCGGGAAGGGCTTCATCCGCAAGCACCACCTCCTGGAGCACCAGCGCATCCACACGGGCGAGCGGCCCTACCACTGCACCGAGTGCGGCAAGAACTTCACGCAGAAGCATCACCTCCTGGAGCACCAGCGGGCGCACACCGGCGAGCGGCCCTACCCCTGCACCGAGTGCACCAAGTGCTTCCGCTACAAGCAGTCGCTCAAGTACCACCTGAGGACGCACATGGGAGAGTGAGGGGCTGCCGAGGCTTCCTCTCCCTCCCTCCATCCCTCCCTTCCTCCTCCTCGTCCTTCTCCTCCACTGATCTCTCCCTCCCTCCCTCCATCCATCTCCCCCCACCCCGGCTCAGGGCATGGACATCAAGGAAGCTTTGTGTGGTAGCGCCGCTGGTCTGGTGGAGACTCGGCTGATTGGAAATAAATTAATGAATTAAAGCAAGCAACGCGCGGCAAAATTAAAAGATTATATATATAAAAAATTAACAGAAGCAGCTGATTTAGGGGGAATCATCACCAACAAGCAAACAAACCACCAACAAAAGAAACCTGTACACAGGGGTGTTTTGCCAGAGTAGGACTCATAACTGCTTTTTAAATCTACTGTTTGTTTTTTTTAATAAATGTGGAGGAACTTTTTATTTGATAAGCAACCTTAGGATGGGCAAGATTTTATTTTCAGTTTTGGTTTTTGTTTGTTTTGTTGGGTTTTTTGTTTTTTTGGTTTTTTTTTTTGTTAACTGCTCTGTAGGCTGATTCTGGCACAGTCACTTTTTGTCCAGGAGCTCTGTGGAGGTGCTGCCTCGTCCGGGCTGGATGTGACAGGAGGAGCTCCAGCGGGGGGAGGTGAGTAATTAACAGATGCAGCTGATGAGGAAGTTCTGCGTGTGTCTAGATTGGAAGCGCTGATAGGTGCCTGCCCGGCTCGCGGGGCTGTGATGCACTCCTGAATTATACAATAGAATAAAATTCTAGTTGCAGTAAAAGACCCTTTTTCTGGTAGGACCCCTCCGCAAGGCTCCCCCAAACACTCATTCCCAGCGCTCAGTCTTCCCACAGGGGGCTGGCCCTGCTGCCCCCGAGGCATGGGGTGCTGTGGGTCTGGCCATGGGGTGCTGTGGGGCCAGCAGGGACTGACAGCAAGACTTTTGTGTTTAACTGCTCTGCTGTCCTTGAGCCGCTGCCGGGGGCATCAACCATGCCCTCCTCAATGGCAGGAGCGGCGGGATTCCTGCCCGGGGGAGGAGCAGCTCCAGGCTGGCTCCAAGGAAAGACCTCGCTGCTCCTGGGCACCTGCAGCCAGGGTGGGTGGGACACAATCCATCTCCCTGCTGTTGGTCTGAGCTCCTGTTTGTAGCAGCTCGCTTCCCGGGGATCCCAGCTTGTCCTGGCATCAGCTCCTGAGGCTGGGCTGTGGCTGGGTGAGAGCCCAGCCTCAGGAAGGGCTGGGGCTGAGGTGGTGACACCATCTGAAACGGGGCTGGTGACACCAGCTCCCCAGAGAACACCGGGCTCCCTCTTGGTGCTGTCAGATGTCATGTTGGACAGTGGCATCAATAAACAGAGCAATGATGGGAGAAGTTGTCAGGACCTGTTAATGCCTTAGCAGAACCAAAGTCCTCGTCCAAGACCCGGTGTATGAACCCCTCCTAGGTTGGGATTTATGGCCTCTTCAGTGCTAGAATGTGCCAGAGGGCAGCGCAGCCACATGGAGCTGCTGAGAGCCACCAGCTGCTCATCGCTGTGGGTGGGAGCATTGTGGGGCTGCTGAGGCAGGCTCCTGCCAGGGTTCCTGCCTTCCCACTGCTGGGGTGGTGCCTGCAACTCCCTGGAAGAAGTTTGGGGTTTCAGGGCAGGGCATGCTGTCAGACAGGAGTTGACACTTCGTCCCTGGAAGTTGGGCAGGCTGGAGGAGGCTTTGAGCAGCCTGGGATGATGTGGAAGGTGTTCCTGCCCTTCCAAGGAGGTGGAACAAGATGAGCTTTGAGGTTCCTTCCCACCCAAACCGTTCTGGGATTCCATGAAAAGTGCTGTGGTGGGGCTGATGTGCTGGGAGGGAGGTGTGGGGGCAGGACAGGAGGGCCTGGCTGCAGCCCTGTGTCCCTCAGCAGCCTCCCTGCATGCCCCTCACCAGGACTGGATGCAAGTATGGGGAAGGGGGAAATGAAAAGCAGAACTGATTCTGCTTCTCAGTGGCTCATGTCCGTGATGCTGGCAGTGACAGGGACCTGGCAGAATCCTCTTTTCTTCCTCAGAATGGATGAATTCAGCTTTCTATTGGCAATGAACCAGCTGAGGTGCCTGCACTAGCCTGGCTGTCCCCTGCAGTGCCAGGGCCTTGGTGTGGCCAGGCTGGCAGTGCCTGTGCCCTGCTCTGTGTCACTGGCCCCACACAGCAGCTCCTGCCCCTCGTGCTGCTCCTCGCCCACCACACACGGCTCTAAATCCCAGCCACTGGACACTGCTGGGATTTAACAACATCCTGGTGACCTTCAGCAGCTCAAATGTCACCAGTCCCTCTGCAGAGACAGCTCCCGTGCCAGTGGGACAACACGGCCAGTGTGGCCCTGAGTGCAGGTGGCAGGGACTCTGAAATGCACGGTGGTGACAACTGACAGCGTTGTCCCATGCTGGGACATGGACTCAACAGCTCCTGTCCCTGCAGCTTGGGCCACCAGTGGCACTCACCCAGCCTTCCCTGGCCTGGGCTGCTGGAAGAACTGGACACAGATGCAGCCAGAAAGCAGCTCCAGCAACAAGGGACGAGCAGGAGCCACCGCTGTCCCCTCCTGGGGGTGAGATGGGCAGTGTACCATCAGGGGGCTCCAGATGAGTGGGGACATCAGGCTGTCACCCCAGGGTGCTGCAGGGAGGGTGGGCAGGGGCTGGCAGCGCTGTCATGGCCTGTCACAGCTGCGGGCCCAGGGCCTGGGACCCATTGGGGCAGGGAAGCTGGCAGTGGGTGACAGGGACACTCAGGAGGGCACGGCCACAGCAGGGCAGTAAGTGCCTGCAGAGGGGTTTGTTCAACTTCTTTATCACGTCAGGGGGTGGATAGTGCCCCCCAAAACACTCCTTGGGCCCCGCTGGCAGCACAGGAGGGCGGAGGAGGAGCAGAACCGACGGCTGAATGCGGGGCCTTGGTGTGGGCACCCAGCACCCTCCGGCGCTGAGCCCAGGGCAGCAGCACAGCAGGGCCAGTGTGGGCCCAGCAGGCCGAGAAGCACCGGGTGGCTCCAGGGGCTCTGCTTCCCTCACACTGCTGCTGCTGCTGCTGCTGCTGCTGCTGCTGCTCTGCTGCTCTCCCGGTGCTCTGGAGCTGGGCTGAGAGTGAAGGAGACACTGGGAGAGGCCCGGAGCCATGCGGTGTGGGGATGGAGGCCAGAGCTCTCCTGGCCGGAGCAGCCGGGGCTTGGGGGCATTCCGGGCGAGCAGGCCGGGGCCGGAGGGCAGGGAGGCACGTGTGTGCAATGACATGGACACACCAACACAAACACACTCATACTCTCACACACACACACGCACGCACACCCAAGCCCATTCCCGGCCCTGCAGCCCGGCCCGTTTCCGTCGCGCCCCGGCCCGGCCCCTTCCGTGCGGTCCCCGTCCGTCTGCGTCGCGGCCATGGCTGAGGAGGTGCTGGCTCTGCGCGAGCAGCTGGTGGCCGAGGCCACCTGCCCGCTGTGCCTGGATTTGTTCGAGCAGCCCGTGCTCACGGCGTGCGGGCACAGCTTCTGCGGGCAGTGCCTGGCGGGCGTGCTGGGGAACCCCCCGCGCCCCGCCGCCTGCCCGCAGTGCCGCGCCCCGGTGGAGCCGGGCTCGCTGCGCCCCATCCGCTCCCTGGGTAACGTGGCCGGGCTGGCCCGGTCCCTGGAGGAGGTGGCGGCGCGGCCGCGGTGTCCCCAGCACGGCAAGCCCCTGGCGCAGTTCTGCGAGCCCTGCGCCGCCCTGCTCTGCGCGCTCTGCCGGTACGAGCCCGAGCACCGGCGGCACCGTGTCCGCCCCGCCGAAGAGGCCGCCCGGGAGCTGCGGGTACGGGGCGGCGCCGCGAGAGGGGCCGGGGGCTCGGGAGGGGCTGGGGGCCTTGGCTGGCCGCGGTGGGGCGGGCGAGGGGCACAGATCAGGGTCCCCTCCGGCCACAGGTGGGGATCGCCTCCAGCAGGGGCTGGGGTGCCTCGGGGACAGGCTGGGGTCCCCTGTGGGCACAGGTCAGTGTCCCGTCCGGGCACACACCTGGGCTCCCGTCAGGGACAGTCTGGGCTCTGCTCTGGGCATGAGCTCCTCTGGGCACGGCTCTGGGTCCCCTCCATGCGTGGCTGCCTCTCCTCTGAGCAGGGTCTGGGCTTCCCTCCGGGCACGGCTCTGGGTCCCCTCCGCACCCAGCTGAGGCCGTGTCCCTGGCCAGCCGCGGATCTGGGGCCTCAGCCGGCTGCTGCCCGGGCTCCCTGTCTGGCTGCCACCTTGGGGGGCTGTACCCACCCTGCTGGGGCTGCTGGTTCTCCCATCGCCTGGCCCCAGCCCACGCAGGAGCCCAGCTCCCTCTCACTGCTCGCCCCTCTGTGTCCCCATATGGTCCCTTGTGCCCCAGATGGCCCCAGCCAGGCTTTCTCCCCCACAGTGTGGGCTGGGGTCTCGGCTCGCTGCAACACAGGAGATGACTCAGAGCATGAGGAGTTTGTTAATACTGCAGCAAATTTATGGGGCATGTCTGAGTCCCTGCTACTGTCACCAGAAACCTCTTCCCAGAAATCACGCTTCTAATGCAGAGAGTTGTTTTTCTAATTGAAAAAAACAATTAGAAAAACACAAACTCCAGGGTTTCCACATGAAGTTATTCCAGAAATGTTTCTGGCCATAAAAGCTGTGGATGGGGATCTCCCCAGCCTGGCTGAAGTGAGTTTGGAGAGGTGCCTCTGAGCTCAAAACTCACTACCAGGCACTTAGGGGTCACCCCCAGTGACTCCCCAGATTGGGATTGTCCCCACAGGGGTTGTTTGGTGACATCATCTCGCTCCTGTGAATGTCACTCCAAAATTAACAGAAATGCCATTTTTTTATCCTTGCGCCAGGAAACACTCCAGAGCAACCTGCTTTCTCTACAAGAACAGAAGGAAAACTTGAAGTGCAGAGGAGACCAGAAAAGTAAAGACCTGCAGGTGTGTGTTCCTCGGCATGCCCCCCACTGCTCAACCACATGTCTCCCCAGGAATGTCCCATCTTTCCCTCTCCCATATAAACTTATCTCCTTATCCATGCCAACATTCTTTTCTCTGTCCAACTCATATGGCCTCCTTGGGCCCATCAACATCCAGACTTACCACCCCTCTCTCTGTTCTTCCTGCTGTTCCTGTTCCAAACCTCTGGTCCCGTTCTGTGTGATCCTTGCCCCCTCTCTGCAGCAGCCGTGTCCCTGCGGAGGCAGCCGGAGGCTGGGTGGGCTCAGAGCCTCCGTGCGGTGCCTTGCAGACGGCGGTGATGTGGGAGCTGCAGCGTGTGCCCGAGACCTTTGAGGAGCTGCAGCGCTGCATGGAGGAGAAGAAGAAGATCCTGCTGGCCCAGCTGGAGCAGAAGTTCCAGGAGCTGGTCAATAAGAGCGAGGAATACAAGTCCAGGGTTTTGGAGAGGCAGTCGCTGCTGGACACGGTGATTGTGCAGATCCAGGAGAAGCGGGACCAGCCAGCGGTCGAGTTCCTCACGGTGAGGCAGCATCCCCCCCTGGGCATTGTGACCCCTGCTGGGGCTGGGGACACCCACCTGGCACCCTCTGCAGCCTGGGGCCATGGTGGGACACCGTGCTGTGACACCGTGCTGTGACACCGCGCTGTGACACCGCGCTGTTGCACCATGACATCTCAGTGTGACAGTGTGACACTGCACTGGGACACCACGCTGGGACACTGCACACTGACACTGTGACACCCCTGTGTGGCACTGTGCTGTGCCCGCTGTGGGTCCGGGCCCTGCGGGAAGGGAGGGCTGGGATGAGGTGTGGGCTGAGCCCCAGCCCCCTTAACCTGCTTCACACAGCTGGGCAGCCACTGCAGCTCCCTGTCCCTCGGCAGTGCCACAGCTCACCTGTGTTTTCTCTCTTGCAGGATGTTGGCAGAATCCTGAGCAGGTATGAAACACGCTCGGTGTCCCTCTCCTCCTGCTCAGCTCCTTTGGGCAGAGGTTTGGGAGCGCTGCAGGAGCGGGGAAGGAGGTGGTTTGCCCCGCTGGGTGTTTGGGATTTCATGTGATGTCACCAGGAGCCAGAGGCCACTGCACCCCTCCTAAAGATGGGGATCCTGTGCTGATAGCAGGGACACAGCTGCCCTGGGATCTGTGGCTGCAGGGGTTTCCCTGTTTCCCTCCTGGCCCTG